TATTTCCTCACTCTCATAGTCCGTTGGGACGGTAATTCGACAAGACCGGAGAGAGATCAGGCGCAGGAGCAACGAGTTTACGTACTTTCCGAGGCACGGGGGTGAAACACCGCCGACTGTGCTACTGAGAATTTCTTGACAAAAAACCCAATAACTGGTTTTGGCCTGACCCGGGAGGAGAGGATCAGCAGTACTCCTTACTACCAATAGACCAACGAGGCAATCGTAAAGAATATGAGAGAGGTTACTTAGATTATAGCAATTTATATTTGTATCGTAAAAAGTTGAACTTTACTCTTTCAACAAAATTTGGTAACACTGAGCTCGCAACCGGTGAAGGATGCACTTTTTAAATTAGACTCTACTTAGGTTAAATATAAATTTGTAAATTTTACATCGTGTTGTAAAACGACACGAGGATTAAGGTTATTTAAGTATACGCTCCCCCGCCCTTTTTAAGCTCGCCGGTATGAGCGTGTCTTTGAGCAAAGCTTTAAAGAAATAATTTTATGTACATTTTATATCTCCTTTTTTAAGATTATCTAGCTAGCTTGGCTTAGCTAATTTTTTTTAAATTCAGTTTTAAATTTTTCCGCTACCGTGCCGTTAGTATTTGCTGCGTGCATTGATAGAGACAATGCTTTACCGTCAAATCAGACAACTATCAAGTATTGTCGTTGGGTAAAGTATTGATGACTTGTTTAGATAGAAAAAAAAAAATACTTGTACACTCTCCTTTGCTTACAATGAAATTCCCGTAAAACTATTGCAAATAATTACCTTGTAGTGACAGCGTAAGAAAATCTGAAATATGGCAAATATCCCACCGTGAGCCAGTCTATGAGGGTAGCCTATTATCGGCAGTAGAGTTTTTAATAGGCTGTAATGATTGAAAAAAAAAAAGAAAAGTAAATTGGAATAAAAAAATCAGTTAAGTATCGACGACGATCGCCTTAATAATCCAGTTATTGTTAAAAAAAATTTAAATGTTAATAACTATTATCGTAACTAATTCGAAAAATACAGTACCACTGAACATATTGACGTGGATAAAAAGGATCCTTAATGTTTTAAAGAGTATGAAAGAAGAAATAAATTAAAAATACTATTTTATAATTTCAGCATACGATGCATCTCAATTGCAGCCTTTGGGGTAGCAAATCAGCTGTAACCTTTGTTTAGAGTTAGCTGCAGGTGTTCATGGTCCATCAGATGAATTGAGAACTCTTTTTTTTAATTGATAAAAAGCAACCTTTTTTTCTACGTGTGCAATAAGAAAATTATTTCTAGAACTATAAAAGATTAGCAATCACATTTTGCATTAATTAATTTTATCCGCACCACGTCCTAAGGCTGTCGAACCGGTCGGCAAACATCCATATCTCATTCATACACAAGTAGGACCGGTTATAGTTGTCTGATACAAAATTGCGCCATGTAGCGTTCAAACTTGAGTACTTTACGTCGAGATATGAACCTTAACTTGTACCTAGTGCTAGATAGCAACGATACACCGTCGTTCCGCTACTGCATAACAGGTGGCGCTAGGAGTATTTTACAATTACTTATTGTATTGCGATAAAGGTGTTTGCTGTATTTATACTATATGTTATTTACTGTATGTGTAATCTGTAAAGTGTGTATTTGTGTTAGTTCGAATATTTGAAGTAGAGATAGATATATTTGTATTAATAATATCTTAAAAAATTAAACACTTGATGCTTGTATAAACGTTTTATTTTTAATAATATTTTATGCGCGTGTTACCAGATATAACAGGATTCTGCTGTAAGCGTCGGACGAAAAATTAAATTGATATCGCGATACGCTGTTAAAACATACTAGTTTTTTTATAGTTATTGTATAGAATTTTCAAAAATATTATTTTTTATTGTATAATAGAAACTATAAGCCTGTGATGCCTTTATTTTGGCACATGTATCTTAATTACTTACATTGCATTCTCGGAAACGGCTTTATTTTACTTTTTCCTAGTAAACCTGAGCTGAATTCATCCTAAAGAAAAAAAAATAACGTCCAGCGAAGCTCGGTCACACAATTACTAGACTTAGTAATAAAGAGTGTTACATCGTCGACAAATGTCAGATATACCTAGTATTTAAATACCATAATTTCACAAAAATAAATATAAACAAAAGTTTCAATCTATTACTTAACATATAATAATGTTGTATACTAACTATGCCTTGCTTAATGTATGGAGGTACTTACGATATTTGTATTTAAAAATTAATTCATTATTTTAAATATCTAAAACTCATAATCATACTCAACGGAGCCATGCTGCAACTTTAAATTTTTTTTAAAAGCTTGTAGCCCTCATGAGTTAGTTAGATCGCGGCGGGACCATGTTCTCATAAACTACCAGCGTAAATTGTGGCTTAATGCTATGTTTCGTATGGTGAGTGAAGAGAACCGAACTCTCTTTTTACTGTAAATGAGACATTCCATCTCAGTTCTTGAGTTGACAACGCATCTGCATTTTGATGGCTATAGGCTACAGTATCCATTTATCATTAGATGGACTGTGTGCTCGATTGCCATCCTTAATCTATTTATAAAAAAACCTTGTCGCTTAGATACAATAGATCGAGTGTATAATACTCACAATCAACCTTAATCTGCACGTGTCAGGATCTTAGGATAGTTGTGGCTTTGACGTTAGAATCGGCCATCTTGTCCGTTTTCCCGACAATTGGATAATTGCACGGGAGCGGTCGCGCGACCAACGTGTCAAGGTGACATCGATGCGCTGTTGCCGTGCCCTATTGTTTTGTAATCCGTATGTTTTATGAAATACGATTAAGAATATATAATTTACAAGAAATATATATATTTAGTAAACATAGTCTATCTCCCGATAGATGGCGGTATAACCACCTCGTGTAATAGCCAGATGTAAATTACAAGCCAGAGACCAGCGTGTGTGTGTGGTGATCTTGTGGTGACAGTGGTTCCAATAAGCATAACATTCATTACCATACTAGCTGTTCCCCGCAACTTCGCCCGCGTGTAAATTAGGGTTTTAATTATGTTGCACAGAACCCTAATTCTTTTTCTAAAATATAAGTAGCCTAAGTTACTCCTTATAACATCAGCTATTTGTCAGTGAAAGTCCCGTCGAAAAGCCGTTTCGGAGATTACAGGCAGACGGAATAAGCAGACAGGCGTGTTTTTGTTATAAGTACCTACCGTATATAATTTCATATGCATTTAGTAAAAAGCTGTTCTTTTGACATTACAAACAGTCACTTCAATTTTATAGATTTTGGGATGGATGAATGAGAGGGGTTGTCTTTTTGTAAAATTCTCCTCCTACCTTTACAAACCCTTACTGAATAAAATTTCACACCTGCATGTCATTTCCATATTGGTAGATAATAGATATAAATTTTGCGGATTGACCTCAACATAATGTTTGATATAAAATTCTGACAAAAATGTGTCAGAAGCATTTTTTAAGGATAAGGACAAAGAAACTAAATAGTCCTTGATTTGAATCTGCCTTTCGACTACTTTAGTGAACTGGTCATTTTTTGACGCGAGGAAATCATGGATGTTTACCGTTGCACCGGAAACATTTTCATCTTAGTCGGGGTGGTAACATTGATAGAATTATTTTAAAAACATAAACTCGCACTATTTTTATTTAGCAATAATTTAATATAAAATGTATCTCACTACTATCATAAAGAATGCATGTATGTTACATTATATGGCAATATTAATATTTTGAAAATAATTTTTACGAAAGGATGAATAACATTTTGGTGCCCGTGGTAAAATTAGTTAAAAATTTTGTACAACCGACTTCAAAATAAATAAAATGAGAACATCATCAATGTAGTCGAAGTCAAGTAAATACGCATTATTAAGGATAACTCAAAAACTACTAGTTGAGACCACATGAGAAGCACCAGCTTTTAAATAAAGATAGAATTATCAAAATTGGTTCAACTACAAAAACTTCTGAGGTAACACACATTAAAAACTACAGTCGAATTGAGAACGTCATCCTTTTTCTAAGTCGGTTAAAAATCGAAAATATCGAACTAAATCTCCTCGGACCGGTAAAGCACCAGCATGTGAGTATCAACTATGTGCTCATCATCCCCCTGTTCAGCGTGTTGAGTACCTACTTACAGAACATAAATAGTCCGATAGCGTGGTAATCGTAAATCGATGTATCGAAGTTTTAAGACACCATTCAACCGAGCACATTCCATTAAGGACCTGTCAAGGATAGATTCACTGTTTGTTACTTTGAAAGACATATTGTTGTCATTTACAGTTACGTCACAGTTCCTTTCGGATTACATCTAATCCACTGGGAAATTGATAACTGCATATAGTTCCCAAATACCGAGTTAGAGAGTAGAGGGCTTAAAATACTTTCTAGTAATAATAGTTTGGAATTTGCGACTTATCTCACGAATTTATTATGTACAATAATAAATTGAAATGTGAATTGTGAAATGCCCAGATCGTCAACGAAGAGCTCTACCAAAGTGCGAGGCGTTTAGTTCTGTGAAGATATGCCTGAAAACTGAGGCGATTATATATATGTAAAGAAAATGTATTTCTTTAATATTTTGTCTGTGTCTTTTATCTGTGGTTTTATCTATATTTGTGTAGTGTAGATAGAATCTGTGAAATAACATATTGACTGTATTGACTGTTGACAATGATAAGCTGCCTGTAGAAAATTATAATTTAAGTTTATTAAAAACAGAATTGTTACAAAGGGAATTGACATATTAAGGAATAAACTTTAAATGTCGTTTTATAAGACGTAAGGTATATTGTTTTTAGGGTTGACTAAAATAAACTATATTGTGTTGCTCTGTAAACAAAGTTTTATATTTCATTAATTTTAAGTTCCATTACGAAACTACACTATTACAATAATAACTAAAAACAAACCTGTAAACAAAGAAACGACATTTACAGTTTATTCAGACCACAAACCATTGGAAAACATGAATCTGAAATCTAGAACCGATGAAGAGCTGGGTGATTTAATATATTATCTCTCACAGTATGAATTCAAAATAAAATATAATCCAGGAAAAGAAAATTTGGAAGCAGACTGTCTAAGCAGAAATCCAGTATTAGAATCAAATGACAACACAGATGAACAATTAAAAATTGTGAACTTAATTAAACTGGAAGATATTGTTAAAGATCAAAATAAAAATGAAGAAATACAAAATAACAAAAACAAATTGATTGAAAAACAGAGTATATTCTACAAAAAGATAAGGAAAAAAGAAAAAATAATCTTATCAGAAGAGTTAAGTATAAAACTCTTAAAAAATATACATGAAAACCTATGCCATATTGGAATCGGACAAATGCAAAAGACTGTTAGTCCGCTATACACAGCCAAAAATTTGATAAAAAACATCAAAAAAATTTGTACAAGCTGTGAAATTTGTATTAAAAATAAATCAAGAGGACATGACCGATTTGGCTTGATGTCTCATCTAGGTCCAGCTACAAAGCCTTTCGAAATAGTCTCTATAGATACAATTGGAGGTTTTGGAGGTTCAAGATCGACAAAAAAATATTTACATCTGTTAGTAGACCATTTTACAAGATATGCATTTATTTCAACCTCAAAAACTCAGAGTGCAAATGATTTTATAAAACTAATTACAAACATAATAGAAATGGAGGACATTGGTATAATTCTCACCGACCAATACCCGGGAATCAATTCAAAAGATTTTAAGAAATTCTTAAATGACAAACGGATACCTTTGGTCTTCACAGCAGTAAATGCACCATTCTCAAATGGCCTCAATGAGAGATTGAATCAAACATTAGTGAACAAAATCAGATGTAAAATAAATGGAGAAGGAAAAAAAAGAGCCTGGACAACAATAGCTCAAGAATGTGTAAATAAATATAATGATACTATTCACTCAGTCACTGGCTTTACACCGAGTTATCTTTTGTATGGTAAGGATGTTACAATTTTACCAAATGAATTAAAACAAGAAATATCAAATAAGGACTGGATCAGAGACAGAAAATCTGCACTTGAAAATACTATGAAATCACATAACTACAACAAAACACTATTCGACAAAAATCGAAAATACTATGAATTTAATGTAGGAGACATGGTGTATGTGGAAAATGGAAACAAAATAAACAGAAAAAAATTAGATGAACTGAGAATTGGACCGTATGAGATAGTTGAAAAAATTTCAAACTCAATATACAGAATTGAAACTGGTCACAAAAAAACTGAATCAAATCTTTTCCACATCACAAAAATTATTCCAGTCCGTTCATTTGACGAAGAAGAAACAGAAGATGAGAACGTTACGTGAACATTTTGTTGTAAATGTTCTTTCCCGAGGGGGGGAGATGTAAAGAAAATGTATTTCTTTAATATTTTGTCTGTGTCTTTTATCTGTGGTTTTATCTATATTTGTGTAGTGTAGATAGAATCTGTGAAATAACATATTGACTGTATTGACTGTTGACAATGATAAGCTGCCTGTAGAAAATTATAATTTAAGTTTATTAAAAACAGAATTGTTACAAAGGGAATTGACATATTAAGGAATAAACTTTAAATGTCGTTTCTTTGTTTACAGGTTTGTTTTTAGTTATTATTGTAATAGTGTAGTTTCGTAATGGAACTTAAAATTAATGAAATATAAAACTTTGTTTACAGAGCAACACAATATAGTTTATTTTAGTCAACCCTAAAAACAATATACCTTACGTCTTATATATATTTTCTAAAATGGGAAAGCCAATTAGGGAGGATTTTCAGTGCATTGTTACGGCAAATAATTTTATAACGCAAATCACATTTCATCTTTATATTAAGAGAAATGCCCTTGTGTTTACCATGTTTAGAGAAAATTATTGAGGTACCGTTTGTGCAAACAAACCTATACATGTTTTATCTTTACAAACTATTACCTACTTTCTTAATAAGATTCTAAGTAAGATGATAGAGACAGCACGAGACTCACGGCATCTTAAAATTGAGTAGCGTTTGAGTACTTGGACATTATTCCTATAAAAATCTGCACAATGTTCAAGATAAACAGGATGTAAATATGATATAACTGCGAAAGTTGCGTCCTGAAATCGATCGGGTAACATTTCGACAACGGGTTCGTTGACCGTCGCGGCTTTATTCAATCGGACAGGGGACGGGAATAATTTCCGCCACTCGTACCGATGTTTTTGGACTAGACACGTTTTGACGATTCGATTATGACAGCTAACATTTATTAGAAGTTATAGCGACATTTCGACGTTATCTATTACATTACATATAAACAAAATTGAAGTGTCTGTCTATAATATTAAAATAACTGAATGCTAGGCTGCTATTAAGCTCAGGGGATTATTTGCATGATATTGAAACAGAAATGAACTTTTTTTATTCAATATAGATTATCACTAATACTTATTGAAAGTCATTCTTTTTTTTAATTACCACTGGTTCATAAAAACCTCTGTCCTTGGAAGAACCAGCAAGGACTTTTTTTTAAATAACAGCTTACATATAATCACGTATGTTCACAATTAACAACATAACAAGTTAGAAATAGCTTGGTAGCGATCACCTCATTCCCAGGGGTTATTATCATCCATAAATTCCTTAATATTATTATAACCCTTCTTACTAACTTAGTTTAATAAAGTTTTTAAACTTTGAGCAGGTCAAAGTTAAGATATTTTTACCGACTCCAAAAAGGAGGAGGTTCTGAATTCGAGTGTATGTTTTTTTTTATGTATATTAAGCGATATCTTCGCAGATTGTGAACCGATTTCAATTATTTTTTTTTATTAAATAGGCTTTACCTCAAGTGTAGTCCCATATAAATTTGGAGAAAAAATTCTACCACTAAAGGTAATATATAACTTGTGTTTTGTCTGTTTGAAGTCAGTTTTTACTTTTTATTAAAAGTTATAATTGTTAAAATTTTTATCTGTCTGTCCGGGCAAAACTTCGGAATGCCTTTGCCGAATGCGATAAGACTTTACGAACAGAGAGAGTAATGTCAGGAAGGATCTAGGCTAGATTTTTTTAAAGAAGAAAAAAACTAAGATTTTTGTTAAAAAATAAATATGAATGGTCTTTGATTATCTTAATTCTAAATAACGCCACATTAATAGATTCTATCCAGGCGAGGCCGGGCCGGTGTTAAATATTACTTGTACGTTTATTATTTATTTTACTATTAAGTTTAACTGTATTACTTAATTGAAAAAAATATTAATAAGGCCTTTGTTCAGCAGGCTTTTTTACTGAAAAAGAGACATTCCATCTTGGTCCTCACGGGTGCCAATGCATCTTCATTTTGATTCTTTATTGAGGATAGATGTAGATATCTATGGGCCACGGCAACCACTTACCATCAGGTGGACTGTGTGCTCGCTTGTCTCCCTTATCCTATAAAAAAAAGCAGTGGACTGGTGATATGCTGTAAAGACGTGGATGATGAATGAAATATGCTTCTGTTTTTAGTGGAGTGTATAATTTAATTCCTTACGACGCTTACTTACTTCATAAACGTGCTTAAGCCCTTTTTCCTTGCGTCAAGCGTGGCCTTGACTTGTTGCTTAATAATCTTAAGCCCGATGATACCTCAACCGTCGCCTCTGGCGTATTGAACGTGTAATACTGTTAAGGCCAGCTTTATTAGCCTGAGGGCTTAGTCAGATAAAAATATACCGGTTTTATATAGGCTCCGAGTAAAGCGAAGTTTTCCTCTTATTATCAGGAGTCTCACATATCCTACGACTTAGTCCCTTTTATGCACACATTCACGTGAGGGCAAGTTAATTTTTTTATATTTACTTTTTGAAAAGCCAGGGTAAATACATAAAAACAATTACTAAAATTAATTTTTATTAAAGAATGTACTTAATTTACAATTAGAGTATCATTTCTTTAAGTCTTAAATTATAGCTTCTTCAGTTAGCAGCTTATTTATTAGTAAATTAAGAATTGAGAGACATTAAATTGAACCTTCAAGAAATAATAAAACATTCTTTAATCAATACTAATTAAAGAGACTAGTTATTTTTGCAAGTTCATTATTTCATATTTTTGCAAGTTCATTATTTCATAGTTTACGTTTATTATCAATAGTACTTTTCCAAATTTTTTCAAAGCTTTCATATTTTTTTTCGTTCAATAATACTTATGCCATGTTTAATTACTAATTTCCCAGTTTATACATCTTTTAGAAATGCGTTTTTCCTTTTCATTTTAAGCGTAGAATAATTTTCTTGTAATTGTTGATTGAGTACTTCTGCAAACAGTAATTTTTATTGTGTTTCTGGAACTTGGAGAATTCATTTTGCTGTTAAGGGTTAGTTTTTGATGTTATATTAAATATCTGTAACGGGACAAACCAGGGTAGAGAAATTAAAAATTAATTGAGCATTCTATCATAATGATACTTATAAAATACATTAAGATGCTCCGGTTTATTGAATAAAATGACAACACATAGAGTAAAAAATCTCATTAATAATGATTGCCGTGCATATTAAAAAAAAAAGGTGACAGACATCATCATCAAAAACTCTCACAAAATTTAAACGCTATAAACAAAAGTTGTACTTTAACCTTTACATTTCTTTTTTATCTTTGCCTTCTGTCATTGTCTCTGTTTACGTCTATAATGGGTGGTACTAATATATTACTTTCGCAAACATGTAGAATGTATTTCTCTACCTAATTTGTTTTGTGTGGTGTACAGTTTAGTTTAGTATCTACTTAACTATCTATAATATTGATAGGTTTAAGCGGATGGCATCCTTGAATTCCATAATATATTTATAGAGTTAACTTTAGCACTAACAAAGTTTGATTGTTACAGTGTCATTTGTTAATTTAAGGGAAATCTGTTATTGGCAATACTACATCACATATAGTTATAAGATATATAATTTGTAAAGCTGTTGGTTTTCTTAATAAAATAAAATATTACCTCTTATCGTAGAATCACCCATATTAGATAGTTAAGTGCGATGTTTGCCGCTATCGCTGTCCACTTATTAAATGAGTTTGTAAAATTGCAATTACATTGATGCCTGAATGCTCCAAGCTCGGTTTTTATTTATAAAAAAAAACACACACACACACACACATTAACCCCACGTTAGAGTTTTTTTCAATACCATGGAGGCATTCTACATTCATTAATTTTACATGGGCAAATAGTTAAATTTGGAGCATTTTTTTTTTTTGGGAAAATAGTTATAACATGCGGGTTTCGAATCCGTGCTCTTGAGCACCGCAGTTAAACACTTAGCCACCTGCCGAGCCAATACTGAATTCCCATTATGTTAAAGCAAATTTGAACTCTTCCTTTAAAGTTCCCGGAAATGTTCAAATTTGAAAAACGAATGAAGTTTTTCTTTTCTTGAACTTGGTGTACACTAAGTCAGGGTTGCGCTAACGTTAGAAAATAGTTTAATATTTTGTTTTTTAACGTTATCAGTTAGGTTTAAAATCTCCCAAACGTTATTGTAAGAAGTAATCGAATCGATGTCGAGTTTTCCGCGCGAATGAATCAAAGAACCTCCGCGATAGTGCACTGGAAATTTTCCGAGCGACCGAAATCTGTAAACAGCGTTATCGTCGCAAATACGAATTGTAACGGCACGTATACGCGGCTAGATAAACTCCGTTCGATGATGTGTCTTCGTTTGAACCAGGGAAACGTTCTACTTTTATTCTTTACTTCTTTGCATTCCGGGCCTACTTCAGTTAAGGATGGTACGGAATATTTTTAATATAGATTATTGCAAAATATTTATTGAAAGTATTTTTTTAATTTTAAATTTATAAGTCATTATTAAGACTGCATTTTTGGCCACTTGCACCTTTGATGCTACTCCCTTCCCTACCGGTCTGAATATTTTGCATCACCATTTATCCGTAGATCATGAAGTTTTTTGATCTTTAATATAATTGTTTATTACAAACATCAAAGAGACGAAATTTAATAGTGATTCTCCTATAATGAGTTCCGAATTTTGACTCACTTTACAATCAAATAAGGTCTCAACTGCTTCTTAGGCCTATTTCTCTTAATTTTATATAATTGTTTATTAAAATAGTTTGGTTACGTTGGATTAGACAAAACAAAGTTATGAAGATTGAAGGTTTTAAAATGCAATACCCATATCTATACAAATAAATGAAATAAAAGTGTAAAGTGTCTGTTTGTAATGTCAAAATTACAGCGTTTTTCTAAATGCATATGAAAAAGTATACGGTATTTATAACAAAAATACAATTTTTTAAATTTTGTCTGTCTGTTGGTTCTGGCTAATCTCCGAAACG